AGGAGGAGGAGGAGGAGGAAGAAGAGGAGGAGGAGGACCAGTGGGAACCCAAGAGTCATCAACGATGTTGGGAGTAACCCTTCCTCCAAGCTCCCTCGTCATAGGCCCCATACAACGGCTCATTTCCATTGAGGGAACTGCTTCGCAGGAAGACAACAGTTTGAAGGTCCTGAAGCGTGCCAAAACATTGCTCTCGGGATTTCGGCGCCACGTATCAACCTGACTGCTGCGTGTTGACGATCCAGTAGCGTGCCAGGACGCCGTTTTGGGGACTTCAACACAACGAATCAACATAATTGCTGCGCCCGCGTACTCTTGAATTGTTCCCAAAAACCATTTCTGGTACGCTGATCATGGGAATCCGTGAAATTCTTGCACGGTGTTAAAACGATTGTGCGCGGCGCTAAGGCGAGAGCCACATGTTGAAAAGGAGCCGCCGCCCTCAATCCGCGAAACCCGTGCAATTTTTTAGAACGAATGCGCGCGGCGCTAAGGCGAGAGACCACCCACGCCGAACCCATGGAACTTCTACAATTTGTTAAAAACAATGTGCGCGGCGCTAAGGCGAAAACCACATTTTGAAAACCACCCGCCCTCAATCCGTGAAGCTTTTGCAAATGTTTAAAACGAATGCTGGCGGCGCTAAGGCGAGAGCCACATTTTGAAAACAACCTGCCCTCAATCCGTGAAGCTCTTGTAGTTTGAAACCAAAAACGAATGTGCGCGGCGATTTGCCGAAAGCCACATTTTGAAAATCACCCGCCCTCAATCCGTGAAACTCACGCAAATGTTTGAAGCGAGTGTGGCCAGCGCTTTGGCGAGACTCACATTTTGAAAACGACCCGCCCTCCATCTGTGAAGCCGTTGCCACTTCTTAAGCTCCGGAGTCATATGGTGAGGAAGTCCCAGGCGAAACGCCGGGCCCGCCCTAAAATCTGGCCTCGGGGTGCGACAGGGATGACTTATCTATAAGGAGAAGGAATGGAAGAGGAGGAGGAGGAGGAGGAGGAGGAGGAGGAGGAGGAGGAGGAGGAGGAGGGAGGAGGAGGGAGAAGAAGGAGGAGGAGGAGACGGAGAGGGGGAGGAGGAGGAGGAGGAGGAGGAGGAGGAGGGGAGGAGGAGGAGAGGAGGAGGAGGAGGAGGAGGAGGAGGAGGAGGAGGAGGAGGAGGAGGAGGAGGAGGAGGAGGAGGAGGAGGGAGGAGGAGGAGGAGGAGGAGGAGGGGGAGGAGGAGGGAGGAGGAGGGAGGAGGAGGGAGGGAGGAGGAGCAGAGAGAGGAGGGGAGGAGGGAGGAGGAGAGGAGGAGGAGGAGGAGGAGGCGGAGGAGGAGGAGGAGGAGGAGGAGGAGGAGGAGGAGGAGGAGGAGGAGGACTGGAGGATTGGAGGATTGGAGGATTGGAGGAAGAGGAGGGGAAAAGGAAGGGGAAAAGGATGGAAAAAGGAGGGCGCATCGCCTCAGGAAAGTATTACTGCGGGCGCGACCTCGGCGTGGCCGCCATCCCCGGCAGTGACGGTCAGTGCGGCCCCCACGGCGGCCCCCAGTGCCCCTCGTGCCTGCGACTGCAGGAGGCCGTCTCGAAGGCCGCGGGGGGCCGAATTGAAATCAGGCGATCGCAAACATGGCCCAAGGGGGCATTGATCACAGTCAACGCGCATAGTAAGGACAAACGACTTTTTCAAGGGTACCCTTGGGTCCTTGCCTGCCTCAGCCTCTGCGGCCCGTCCCTAGCAATTTTCGCAGGCCAGAATACTTCAACTTCGGCCTCCAAGGGTCTTGCGTCCTTACCACGCGTCCTTACTATACGTTTTCACTGTAGCGACGGGTCCCGTTTCCATGGGAAATCGCGGATTTCCGCCGCCGAGCGGGACAGCACCAGCCGCATTGTGTGCTAGCACCTCCCCCGATCCATGGATTTGGCGACCGCGCGCCAAATCCATGGCTCGCTGATCCGTGTTTGCGCGCCCCCGATGAAAGGAGGGTACTGGATTTCGGTGGCTGGGCCTCCCGAAGGGAGCACCAGCTTTGCTTTTGATTCGGGAGTCCCGCGCACGGCCGAGACGTTCTCGCAATTTCCGCGGGAGAGTCGAGCTCTTGCTTGAGATGCCTTGTCGCTCCCACATTCCAGGAATCGCGCTCTCGCCTGGAACCCGCAATTGATGGACGAGCCGCGCTCTCGCCTGGGACATCGTCAACGTACACACTCTCAACGTTTCGCCGTCTTTCCGTCTCGCTCTCTCCCGCTTCGCCCCGTGTTCGCCCCTCTTGCGCGGCCTCTGCGTAGTGGCCCTGTACCTTTTTTCCGCTGCCTTGCACTTGCACGGCTTCGCACTTCGCTTGACTTTACGACGCCGCGCGGGTGCCCGCTCGCGGTCGCGATCAAAACAAAACACCAGCCAATGGAAAGTCGACCCCAAAACGAGTTGCCCTGCCCAGGAGTTTGTAGCAGCACGCTTCCAGAAATCAGCCATAAGACGCCTCTTGGAGGCCTGTTCGAACCATGTTGGAGGTCCCTTGCGGGCCCTTTGGGGGGCACTCAAGGCGGTGCTTGGGCTCGCCTGGGGCCCTCCTGGGGGGCTTGCCTTGAGGCCGCTCCAGTGGTCATCGTGGATGCCATCGGGCCCCCCCGCATCGCTTCTAGGGGCGCTCGTGGGATGCTCGTGGGGCGCTCTTGGGCTCTCTTGGGGCCTCGCGGAGCTTGAGTCCCTCTTGGGGTCTATTCTGGGCCATCTTGCGGCCAGCCAGGTTCCTCAGAAGCCTATCGGGAACGAGAATGCGAGAAGGCCAACAGCGTAGTTTCCCCATACGTATTGGAAGGATGTTGGCCTCTCGAGAGGGTTCTTGGGAGGCGTCGTGGCCGCTCAGAGCAGTATTGCAAACAAACTTGGGGTCAACTTGACACATACTAGGCACTAGAGGCCGTCGCGGGGCATCTTGGGCTATTTTGTGTCATCTTGGAGGCCTTCTTGGGCTCTGTGTTGCTATCTTGGAGTCGTCTTGGACCCAGAAGGACGCCCCGACACCTCGCGGAACCCTGACCCAGTCTCCAGGGGAGCGGGCAGGGGGAGGGCAAGCCCTTCCCGAACGGGAAACATGGGGTGAAAAGAACGAGTTCGCCAAACCGCATCCGCCCACAGGGCCTGCGAGGATGACTCAAGAAATGCGATCTCGCGTCGGACTCGTTGGCAGCTTCGCTCGAGATCATGCCCTTGCCGCGCGGTGCTTGCTCTCGCCTTGGATTTCCGCGCCGCAGGGTCCATTTCGCTCGTCCGGGCCGGCCCCCCCGACCAGGCCGTGAGGGCCCGATCCGCCCGACAGGGCCCGCCCGCCCGCCCCTCCCGTGTGGGTCCGCCCCGCCCGCCCCGCCCGCCTCAGGCCCCTCCCGCCCGGCCCGTCAGCGGGGCCCGCCCGCTCGTCAACAGGGCAGCGCGCCCTGCCCGACCAGCCCGTTGCGCGCCCGCCCGCCCGACCCGGTTTTGTTTGCGTCGGGCCCGCCCGATCCGCTCGTGTCGACCCGGATGGGTTTCCCCCCCGATGTGCGCAGCCCCCCCCCTCTTCCGATGGCGCGCAGCACGAGGGGGGACGGTTTGGGATCCCCAGGTTCGCTGCGACGCGCGTCGGCGGATCGTGCAAACAGCAGCGCCATTGGCAGGCATGGGGGGGCGGTAAGGGTCTCAGATGTGGCGCGAGCGCGCCTGGCCCGCCCCCTCCCTCTCGCCCGTCCCCATCCTCCCCTCCTCCCTCCCCTGCTCCTTTTCCTCCCCCTTCTCCCTCTCCTTTTCCTCCCCCTCCTTTTCCTCCCCCTCCTTTTCCTCTTCCTCCCCCTCTCGTTGTCCTCCCCCTCCTCCCTCTCCTGCTCCTTGTCCTCCCCCTCCTCCCACCCCTCGTCCCTGGGGTCGCCTCTCCCCCTGTCACCGCCGCCGCCGCATGTCGCCGTCGCCGCCGCCGGCAGCCCGCTGGGCGCTGGGCCAGCGTTTAGCGGCGGCTGCCGTCAGCCGTGCCGCCGCGAGGGAGGAAGCCGAGGCCGAGGACGACGACGGCGACGATGACGTTAAGTAGGGCATGTCCTTCTTCGGGAGAAAGATACAACAATAGGAAAACAATAGCCTGGGGACGATGTTGATGCTATTTGCGATGATGCTTCGAGAGTGTGTTGACTATTGCTTATTGTTCTTACGAAATCCACTTGTAATTAGGAGGACATGCCCGACCTAACGATAGCGACAACGGCGGGCCGGGGCCCCTGCTGGGCGGCCGCGCGGGCCACCGCGAGGCCGCTGCGATGCCGCTGCCGCTGCTCGAGGCCCCTGCGGGGCCTCTGCCGCGCCACTGCCCGCGCCACTGCCGCGCCACCGTGAAGGCGGGCACGCCCCTCTACAAGAGGAGCATTCAAAAGAAAACAGTCAAAACACAGTCTGGGGAGGATCTCTGGATTTTTTGAACCATTTGGGGGCATGTTTTGGCTCGCTTTCATTCTTCGTCCAGCATCCCCCCTGTAGGACAGGAGGACATGCCCGGCATGTCCGACCTATAACGCCACCGTCGCATCGCCCGCCTCCCGTCGCCGCCGCGCCGCTGCCGGCGGCGGGAACGCCGAGGGGGCGTGTCCCCCTACAGGCCGATTTTGGACGAAACGTAGAAATAGTCCAAAACGTTCTCGATCATAATCCGACGTGCTCACGGAATCGTCCCCATGTCATCGTTGGGCTTTCTTTGAGCGTTCCCCCTCTAGAGGGGCACGCCCAACTTAACGGGAGCGCCAGCACACAATAGTCCAAAACGTTCTCGATTACAATCCAGCGTGCTCACGGAATCGTCCCCATATCATCCTTTTTGGCTTTCTTTGAGCGTTCCCCCTGTGGAGGGACACGCCCGACTTACTGGGAGCGCCATGGGGGGGGGGGGGGGGGGCTCCCAGCGGAGAGGCGCCTGGCCGGCGGCCCGCCGCCAAGAGGCCGCGGCGCGGCGCCGCGGCCGAGCCCAGGGCGAAGCCCAGGGCGTAGCGCGTCGCCGGCCGGGGCAGGCGCCGCGTCGCTCGGTTGAGGTCCGGCCTGTCCCCCTACAGGCGGAGTTTTTGGGCGAAGCATTTTCCAAGATAGCCAGAAGATCTTCCAAAAAGGTCAAGAATTAGTCGAAGCATCGTCCCCATATTATTTCTTTTTACAATTTGGGAGTATTCCTCCTACAGGGGGAGTTGTTGGGCGAAACAATTACCAAGATAGCCAGAAGATCTTCCCAAAGGGTCAAACAAATTGTCGAAGCATCGTCCCAAGATTATTTCTCTTGACAATTTTCGAGTATTCCTTCTGTAGAGGGACGTGCCCGACGTAACGCTCGGCGGCTTCTACTCGTCTCGGACAGCGACAGTCACGATGCACCAGGCCACCCCGACCCAACCCGAAGGCCCCGGGCGCCCCACGATTGTTCTGGTCGGGGGGTGTACGGGTTCCTCCCGTCTCGCTTCTTCCTTGCTGCCATCTGTAGTTTAGGCTCCTGTGCTGTACTACGTCGGCCTTGCTGTCGTTCGACTTACGGACGCCGCGCGGCTGCCCGCTAGCGGTCGGTAAACAAACAAATGTACGGGTTCCTCCGTGTGTTCTCCGTGTTGTGGAACGCCGGCGCCGCGCCGCTCGCTCGTTGGCCTCTCCTCTTCTCGATTCCACGCTGGAGTGACCCTTCGCTGGAGTGACCTTTGTCGGAGGTTGATCGACCTCCTAGCCTGACACGTCGATTAGCGAATTGGCCGTTTCCGGTTATGGAACAACTCAAGATAATGAGGGTGCAAGTGTTACGTTCGCTCGCGGTGCTGAAGTCCCAAGAATGGCGTTCTGGCACGATTCAGAATCCGCGGCGTTGGAATCCGAATCCCGAAAACAATGTTTTGGCATGCTTCAGGGTCTTCAAACGGTTGCCTTCCGACGAGGCAGTTCCTTCAATGGAAATGATCTGTTGTAGGGGCCTATGAAGAGGGAGCTTGGAGGGAGGGTTCACTCCAGCATCGTTGATGACTCTTGGGTTTACACTGCACTGGTCCTTCTCCTCCTCCTCCTCCTCATCATCATCATCATCAGCATCACCATCATCATCAACACCATCATCCTCTTCCTCCTCCTTTTCCTCCTCCTCCTCCTCCTCTTCCCCCTCCTCCCCCTCCTCCTTCTCCTCCTCCTCCTTCTCCTCCTCCTCCTCCTCCTCCTCCTCCTCCTCCTCGGGATGCAGGCCTCCGCCTCCGACCGCGCACGCGGCGACCGCGGGGCCCAGCCCACCCCAGCGCAAAACGGCGCGGGCCGCGGAGCGCCTGCCGCGCGCGCCGCCGCGCCGCCGCGCCGCTCGTCGCCGGCCTCGTCGGCGGCGGCGTCGGCGACGCTCGCCGCACGGGTGCGGCGCCGGCGTCGTCGTCGTCGCGCCGGCGTCGTCGTCTGTCATCATGGAGTGGCGAAGCGTCCTGGCTCGCCGATGGGTTCATCAGAGAATGTTCTCAGAGCCCCTTGTGGCTTGCACGAAATGTTATCATATCAGATCTGGCCGAGACCATATTGTGCTAACACATCGGGTAGATGTTCTAAGACTATTGTTTTTGTTTTCAGAACATTTCTGGATTCTAATACCACGACGTCGTGGTAGGCCTATAGGCATGCCGGGACGGTCGGAAGTTCGGGTGCGGCGCCAGCGTCGTCGTCGTCGCACCGGCGTCGTCGTCGTCGTCTTCGTCGTCGTCGTCCTTAGACCCCCTCGCGTCTTGAAGTCGGCGGCGAGCGAGAGGGGGAAAGTGAGAAGGAGACGGCCTCTTCAGAATGCGTCGTGGCTTCTCCGAAGCCCTCGCGCCATCCGAGAGGTTTTCTGTGTCTTCGGGGAAGGTTTGGGGAATTTCTCAGAAGGCCGGGGAACTTTCGAGCCTTCCGAGAAGGCCCGCCCCTTCCCACTTCCCCTCCGGGCTGGCCGCCGACTAGACCCCCTCGCGCATTGAACGAGAATGGCGGCGCAAGGCTTTTGTTGCCAGTTTCCCACCTCTGGGGGCCTGCACCGGGCCCTGGGGCCGTCAAACAACGGCCCGGGATGAGACACCAGCCACCCCCTTGGAGGGTTAAGACTTCGGGCGGTCCACCCTGAGAAACAAATCACAGCGTCGGGGGTCTGGGACGTGGTCGGCGGCGCCGCCTTCCGCCTTCTTTCCTTCCTTCCTTCCCTTTCTCCGTCCTCCTGTCTCCTCCGCCCGCCTCCATCGCTCTCGCCCTGTCGCCGCCAGGCCCCTGTCTGTTCGGTAGTGGGACGGTGCGGGGGTCGGCCGTGGCCCGCCGAGGAGCCCAGGCGCCTGGGAAGCGAGGAGGCCCGTGGCCAACCCCCACCACCAGTCGAGTCCGAGGCCCAGCCCCCCGCCCTCGAGAGCTTGTGAAGCAGATTGCCCCATGGGTGTTCAGGCCGTCCCTTGGGAGGTGGTGCGAGTGGGCGTCACTGCAGTTCGACCAGGTTGGACGTCGTATAGAAAGGCCGCCGCTGCCCGCATTCCTCTTCCAGGGCCACGCGGCGGAATTTTCCTCTCAAGGAAACTCGCAGGCGGAAAAACAAACGAACGTTCAAAATAGTATGGTATAGCTCAGAAAAAAATGTGTTTGTTTGGAGACGAATATTTGATACATACTGGTCTATGTAAAGAGATGTACTCGTGGCTATGCAATGAAATCTTGTCTTTCCAACAGACATGGTGTTTTGCTCCATACATATTCGTTCATTGATAGATAAGTCCGTCTTCAACTAGACGCGGCAGTTGGATCTGGGGACCTTGTCGCCGCAGTAGGTCGCAGGGCCACAATGGCAGTGGGCTCAACCGGAGGGGGGCAAAGACGTAATGAATCGGTGAGTGAACTGCGCGGAGATACTTGCAAGCTCCACGCACGTTCGCACGCAGGAGTGAATGCGCGATCTGTGCGGGGCCATTGCAGGCGTGTTCCACGCGAGAGTGCCGATCGAGAAATATTTCCCAAATTGCTTTAAAGGGCGGTGGGGCCTCCAATTTCATTGGTTACCCTAGGTTGGCTCCTCCGATCGCTGTCCCTCTCGTCCTAGTCGCCCCTTCGTCCTCCTTCCAGTACATCTTCTCCCCAAAGCCTCTGCGACCGGCGGACACATCACACGAGCGGCGTTTCTGCTCGCAGCATGACCGGTGTCTGGGCGCTGGTGTTTCGGCCACCGTGACGGTGAGACAAAATCAATGCCCGCCATGTGGAAGGTCAAGACTTCGAAGTCTGGGTCTGATTCCCGACCCTTCGCGTATCCCCAACCGGCACGCCCTCTGGACTCTTCCTTGCGGGCCGCAGATCAAAAAAGTATCCCCACCGGCAGTGCATCAGTCGGCGACCTCGGAGCAGCTGATGGAGGGGCCGGCCCTTTGGGAGCTTAGGGCCTTCCCCGTTGTGCACGGGATTGTGGACCTTGGAGCTTCGTGGTCGCTTCCGAGTGGTACAGCCTTCGCAGTCGCGGCCGCTCCCCTGGACCCATCCCATTCACCAGGCAGGTTTGCGACGTTCCTCGGCAGCTCAGCCCACCTTGCTCGCACACGCCGTTGGGACGGCCCTGGGCCTGGCGCCCCACCGGCGACTCGCCCATCGTCCACCCTGCCTGAGCGCCCACCTGGCATGACGGTCACGCAGACATCGGCGCACTCGCCCTCGCGCCGTCTGAGTGGGCTATGCCTCTCGGCACCCCCCTAATTCCCTGGCGTTTTGCTAGGCTGAAAGTGCCTGAGCTTCCCTGGACGCCCTCAGCCCGCCGGCTTTCCCGCGCAGCCTCGCGGCTGCTTGGTGAGTGGGCCGGCCGGCCTGCGGCGCGTTTAGTAGCTAATTAGGCCGTTACCGCGTCCCGGAACGCTTCTGACTCAACTTGCGCTCTCGCTGGCGGGCGCGACCGAAAAAAGTATCCCCACCGGCCCACCCCGGCGAGCTGTCTGGCACCAGGAGGTGCGAGGCGGGCAGTCGGTGAGCATCCGCGGAGCAAGGAGGGGATACCAGTCAAGCTGGAGCCAGGGTCCGGGCGAGAACCTCCCAACAACTATCAATGAATTGGGGCCCTTTCTGGGCCGCCGGGGGTACTCCTGGGGCCGTCTTGGAGGCCATCGCCCCGCCATCCAGGGGCAGGTCCCCCGCCACCCTTGCCCGGGAGTTTGTCTCGCTGGGTCTCCCCTCCTTCCAGCCCCCCCAACTTTTCTCCGCCGGGGCAGAGATGACCAGGGCGAGGGCGAACTATACAGTCGGAGCGCTGAAAGAGCAACCCTCTCCGTTGGGGAGGGGCTCGGTGTTCCTGGAGTGTTGTGCAATATGCCTTATGTAGGTTTCCTGGAGGTTTTCCATGGGAAGTCGAAGTGCAACTTTTGGGAAACAGGGGCCTCGCTCCTTGTTTATAGGGTTCCTTAGGTCAACGCCCCGAATGTATTTGGGCTACACGTGCAGTCCGACTGTCAGTGTGATCCTTCGCCTGGGTGGCATGTGGTGCGGGCTCACGGGGGTCCACCCAGCTCTGGCCTGCTCGCTTTTGGATTCAGCCCCCCCCCCACAGCCTTTTGAAGCCGCGCATCAGAGGGCACGCTTGCCTGGGGACACCTCTTGCGTGTCGCCGAAAATTTGTGTTCGGTCCCAGCTTCTCTCGTGTCTGGCGCGGGCTTCCTCGAAGCGGAGCGTCGCAATCGAGCTGATGTTTCCTCTCCCCTCCCTTCTTTGCCCCTGCGCGCGCGTGCTGGCAGGAGGGAGGGTCATTTCCATTTTAAGTCATGCCGTTGTGAAGAGGCGACGTGGCGACCGAGAGCTTGCCCAGAGCGCTTGAAGAGCGAAAACTGTCCCAATCACAGGCTTGAGATCGTCATTCGTTGTGTTGTGTGGTGGCGAAAGAGATCGAGAGGCAGGAGCCCTGAAGGTGTCCGCCCCCGACTGGGAGCCCCTTGCAAGTCGCCGGCAGTCTCGGCCTCCCACGAGCTGAGCGAGCCCGATGCCCTCCTGGGCATTGGGCGTGGGGC